GTAGGGGGTTAGGACATGGGGAGGAGGGGATTGAGAGCTCTGGCTGGGGTTGCAGGCTCTGGGGTGGGCCAGAGATGAGACGTTTGGGGTGCAAGAGGGTGCTCTGGGCTGGGAACTAGGGGTTGGGAGGGCAGGAGGGGATCAGAGGTGCAGGCTCCGGGCAGCGCTTACCTCAAATAGCTCCCAGAAGCAGGAGCATGTCCTCCCCCACAGCTTCTACGCGGTGGCACGGCCAGGGGGCTCTGTACACTGCCCTGTCTGCAGGTGCCACCCCCACAGCTCCTATTGTTCATGGTTCCCGGCCAATGGGAGCTGCAGAGCTGGTGCTTGGGGCAGGACCAGTGTGCAGAGCCTCCTGGCTGCCCCTACGCATAGGAGCCAGAGGGGGGGACATACTGCTGCTTCTGGGAGCTGTGCGGAGCCCCCTGGACTTTTAAAGGCCCGGTCAGCAGTGCTGGCTGGAGACACCAGGGTCCCTTTTCGAGCGGCTGTTCTGCTTGAAAACCGGACACCTGGCAACCCTCAAAGAGTCAATTAATGGGATGGGTTTGATGGTAGCATAACAGCTAGATTGGAATGAGGGAGGCTGAAACGAGCAGAAAACAGTGCCAGAGCCAGCAGAATTAATACTAGTTTTCTGCCCTTCCCTTTACTGGAGCATCCCAGTTTTTCCATTCTGACAAGAAGGAAGAGGATGCTCTTATCACTTCCTCAACAACCTCCCTCATGCCACTGCAACACATTTCCTTGCAACACCCTGACCAGAGTGAAGAGCATTCCAGTAATAATCTCCATACAGATTGCAGGGAAGAGGAGAGGGGGAGCAGAAGGAAGAAGCGGGATAAAGCTACCACCACTGATCTTCAGGCCTAGTTTCAAAAGTGTGTGTAACTGTGTGGCTGATGTGTGTGTCCCAAAGCTCCATTGCACACAAATACTAGTTGGACATGTAATTAGTCATATGCATTTTAGTGATAAAAGAGCAGTAATTTAATGCACAAAAAGTTTGGCATGCAGATGCGTTAATCGTTTTGAAAAATAAGTCCTTAGCCTTTCTCTGCTTGTTTTCCCTTCTCTCAAGTGAATTGTCACTCACCTCACAGGACTGTTTTTGAGATTAGATTATGCTTGTCCAGCAACGTGTAAATGATTAATCGTTTATCACGCACTACGCTACATATTAGACCTAAATTCGGCCCCAAGCTTCCCCTACCAAATTTCTGTGGAAGAGCCACCCAGAAATTTTGGGGTAGAGGGGGGGAAAAGGGGAGCAGGAATTTTCATGGTTTTAACAGATTATAAAAATCATTTACCGTGTTCATTTTTATCAAAAAGATTCTAAAGGTACACCAGAAGGTGTGTTTATAACCAATACAAATGCATTAGCATCACAGCAGAGAAACACCAATTTCACATAGCTAAGAAGCTGCATAGTAGGACTACATAAATTGCAACGTGGAACTGCTCAGTGGCTAAGAAGCACTGCATGATAGCGTCCCCTTTTCCCCAAAGGACAGTATTTCAGTCTTCTGTTTGCCCTGCCCGCTATGCTGCGCCCTCCACAAATGCTCACCTCTGAGAGAAAATCCAGCAGGGCAAATCACTCATTTCTAATGATTGAATCAGTTTGGCATATGAGCTTTCATCTTTGCTGGTATCCTGAATCTTAGAGAATTGTTTTGTCGCTACCTCCCCTTGTGTCTTTAGAACAGTAGCATAGAGAGAAGTACAGAAAACAGACTAAAACGCCTATTATGAACACACAATAAAACCCACACAGGTACAGAGAAGATAGGCAAATGGCAGGCAGACAAGCAGAAAGATGGCAGAAAAACTGACATTTTAAAAATATTTAATGGACCTCTTTAGGATTTGCTGCACAAAGTTTTGGGAGAATGGCAGAAAGGTAAATTATGCATTCATTTCTACAACTATGTAACTGCACTATGCCTGGGGCCCTGGTTTTAAATAAATTCCTACATGTTGAGTTGACTATACAGCATCTATACCTGAGTTTCAAAACAATCTAAAGAAAAGGTTTTTTTTTTTAAACTAGAAATCAAAGTTTAACAGATACTTTTATTGAAAGCAGAGCACACAAGAACTAACTCTTGTCACTGTTGGCTGAGAGAGGCAATGTTACCAAAAAGTTAATTTTTAATATATTTACTTTGTTGAATAAAAGCTTCTGGTCTAGGGCACCTGACTTCTGCTAAATTAGTTAGGTAGTATTCACTTTTGATCCTCAAACTGATCAACTGTGATTTTTGAAGTAAAATTAACTTATTGGCTCTTTACAGTGAGGACCACAGGGAAGTAACAGTTTCAGTGCTGGAACAAAGTTGTGGAGGTTCATCCGATTCTCTCTTTTTTTTCTTTAAAAAAAGAGTATGGTAAGCATATAAAATTACAGTACAACTGCATGTGACTATGCTATTGCTAATGCATATACCTTCTGTTTCAGCTAAAAGGAAGTTTAAGAGATCTCAATGAAGTCAATAGTTGTGCCACCTTTTTTGCTGGTTATCACAATAAAGACGACATTTATATTCAAAGTAAAAGACTGATTACATCAGTAAATTAGAAAATAAATTGATTAATGTAGATTAAATAAATAATGTAGAATCATTTAGAGTCAGAATAATAAAGAAAAATCAATAAAAGTCAGAAATGCAGAAAGTTAACAGCTCCAACAGTGTCAACTTGGCCTTGAGGCCCCTCTATATAGTATTTTCTGTTCCTATTTTTCTTATAAAATATATACTTCCAAATATTACATATTCATTTCTTCAGTTTATAAAATGCAGCTATCAAGTTCTAGACTTATTTGTAACACATTACAATCATCAATACAATAGGTAAGCCAACCCAGTGTATGTATGAAACAAGAAGCAAAATTACAAACCCCCACCCCGCCCGCCAAAGATCATTTGGAAAGTCTACCATTTCTACTAGCTTCTGCAAGAAAACCAATAATAATTATCCCTTTTGCAACATCAGTAAACATGATTCTGACCTCAACGTGGAGATAATGTGTGATCCATGACAAGCACATGCTCTTCTAGTCTATAAAGGCTCGTATACCATGTAGTATCTGAGCTCTTTCTAGTGTGAATAATATCTGTCACAGTTTGTTCTCTCATCCTCTTCCCAGCAGAAGTGTGTATAGGGGAGTTTGTTTTTGCTTTGTTTTTTGGACAGCTCTTTGGTTTGTTTGGATGTGTTACTATGTAATTATGGTAGAAAAGGCAACATTGCACTAATGAAATTAATGAAGCTGCCTAAACCACTAACATACATTAAGTGCACACACCTGTGAAATACAACTCTATAAAAGGGTATAGTTTTCAGTTGTTCAAAGTTTTAACAAGCAATTAATTTCCCTTCAAATTTAATTCTGGACCTACTCAGAAAGGACTACATACATGTCATTCTTCAGAGTTCTTTGAGTTATCTGTGTGGCTGGTTTTTCCACTCATACAAAATTTGAAAATGATTGAAGAGATTTTTCCATTTCCAAAATAATGCATCTTTGGCCAGGGACCAAACACTGGAAGTTTAAAGCCCAAAGATGAATTCTCCCAGGAAGATACAAGCTTGTGAAAACCTTGAATCATCTCTGAAACTATTTTGTCTCAAACACAAACACCTCCTATGGCAGTTTTGTGAATGTAGCCCTTCTTTTCCTCCTACATTAAAGTGTTTTTTAAAAAGGGTTTGGTCTAGGTCAAACAAAATGTTTAATTCAACACAAAATGAAAATTTTGTTCTTTTTTTGATTCACCAACTTTTTTGGATTTTCAGATCAGGTTTAAAAAAAATATCCCAACTATGTGCACCAGCTCTAATGCCATTTTTACCAAGCCCATTTTCAGAGGAAAATTTAACTTACAGCAAGTGGAACTAGCAGATGTATTTGAAGCAGCAGAGACATAACAAACATAGTATTACTCAAGTATTGCTAGGATTTCTAAAGTTTAGGTTCCCTACCACCCCCAAAATAAACCATTGCTATTTTTATTATTTTATATTTACCTAGACACACACAACCTTTGTAAAATTTTGCTTTAAATTGTAAGGTTTTTTAGTTCACTACTTCATATCCCAGGTTGCATGTTTACTTTGAATGTCTAACTTGGTCTCATGTTTATTTCATTACTTTCCTCTGCAAGTGACATCTTCTAATGTTCAAATCAATAATTCTTCAGAGTTCAGCTTTAGTGCACATTAAATCCTATCTTTAAAGCATCTTTGATAGCTTTCTAAGTGTAGCAACATTAAATACTTATTGAAGTATTCAAAATAGGTGTGAGGTTGAGAGGTCCCACTTTCACTCTAAAGAGAAAAACATTTCCTTAAAGCAGAAGTGTCACTAAACAAACTAATACACAATGACACAAGAGAAGTTATTTTCCCCCTCATGTATTACTACTACTGTATGCAAGTAGCATGTGATTTAAATTTAGGTGTACTAACAATTAATGCATTAATTAAGACGCCCCCTTTAACATTTTTTTTTAAAGAGGCAAACAATTTTAATTTAAAAAGATTAACAAAATCTGAAATGTGAAAGGCTAGACAAAAAGTTGTACTTTATAAAGTAGAAGCAGACATTTTAACTTATAATTTTAATATAGCAATTAAAGAAAATTCCAAATACTGTACAGTGAAGTGTAGTATAGTACACTATATACTGCTATAATACACTATTGTTACATTACAGATAAAAATCAAATGTAATTAGTACAGGAATCACAAATAAAACAAACCAAATGTGCTGGATAACAGCCAGTGCTGTGAAGATGGTACAATGCCTTATGCTAATTTATTTTTAATTCAACATGTAAAGCACTTACTGTTTAAAAAGATTTGTTTTCTAAATATATACACTATTAATGCTTATTTATACATATTTTAAATAGCATTACCTCCAAATAGTGCACTCTTTAGTTTCTTGGCAATAATCCTCATTAAAAATAAAATAAATCTGAAAATACCAATCATGTTTCAATCTTTTATTGCTCTACCACAGGCATAAGGGCTCAGAGGGAATTCTGCATTCTACAGATTTTATGCAACATCTTAAAATTTAAAATACTCAATAACTGATATTCACAAGCAAAACAACATTGAACAGATCACTACTGGTGTTCTTAAACAGGAGGCTCAACTTCATGTTAATATTGTACTACAAATGTATGTAGACTCCATAATTTAAAAAAAAAAATGGTCAGGTGCCAAACAAATGTACAAACAACAATGGCATTTTCCTCAGTCATTCACATTTTGTTCAGTTATGTTGGAGCATAGTGCTTAAACTCCCACACTTCTAAATATTGAATTCTGAATTGTAATATCCAGCATTTCAGTGTGTTCCAAAGAAAAGGCAGAATTAGTGAGCTAGTCTTAGGGGGCAGTATAGTTCCCCCCACCTTCCCTTTTTTAACCATATTTTGAAGATTTTAAATTAAACACTTTGGTTTTAAAAAAAATACACCCTTTGTATGGAGTTAGCACACAGCTTTGAGCCAGTGTACTTCTGTGAAGTTTGCCAAAGTATTCTCTTGGAGGCTACAGAAACCTTGTTTAGACATTAACACAGCCATACCTAAATATCATCCTTACAAAGAGCTGTTTTATGTTCACATGCTTGAGCTGTGGTTTTAAAAATTCCACATAAGTACTAAACCACACAATAAATAGATGTGTAAAATAAAGGACTGCCTTTAATTTCAAATATGATCAGAATCCTTTAAATTCTGCTATATTTTTACATCTGATAATAGATACTATTTAAACTTGAAAAGCTCAGAAAAAAAATCCAACTGTATGAATGAGTGTCTTTGTGATTGCAAAAGAGAAGTTGTCCCAAAGAATATATTATAGTAACTAATGCAGCTTTTTAAGAAAGATACATCAATCTCTACTTCACTCAAGCAATGAAATTCAAACATTAATTCCCAGAGAATATAACACAGTAGCAAGTATTTATTCATAGCCAACCGTTATAACAATACTGTTAAAATCTTGCATTTGGCTGGAAAGCTAACTGCATGCTGTACTCCAGTGGTTTCCAGTATGCATACCGATACTGATTCAAAAGCATTTGTCCAATAGTCTGGATTTCAATCCCTACATTAGCAAGTCTTTGCACTGGGCCCTGGCATACTGCCACGGCCTGCCTTGCCTCTCATTCAAATTACATACATTAACCAGCAATGGAGCTTGGGATGCTCCAAAACTTAGTCTAATTTGTCAGGCACACTGAGTAAAAGTTGGCAGGCCCTGGCTGGGATAGTAACCGGTACAGTTGTCCCAAAACGTGGGAACCGCTACTCAATTTCACACTGGTGACTCTGTAGTAAGTACTAGTAGGCCTGATGATAAACAATACTGACTGATCTTTGCATCTTTAGAGAGAAGCTCTAGTCACACAGCTTTATTAACCATTATTATTTTACTAAAGCTCTCCTCCCACCAGCATGCCTCACCCCCTAAGCATTTTCCTGACTCTCTTAGGGAAAGATGACAAGCACACAAGTGGCAGAAAAACAGGCACGTATATATCTCTCAAATTATATTTGCTTCTATTAGACCCACTAGAGTTCAAATGAAACACTCGCCCAAACTTACAAGTATCAGCGCTCTTTATTTAATTTCTTTCTTACGGATACACACCTCCCCAGGGCATAGATGAAATCTAACTTCATTTTGGATATGTTGGAAAGCCATCTCACTAAAAACACTGATGCTTAAATGCATCAGAAAGTTAACTGAAATAAAGAAAACTGCAAAGAAATATGCACATTTATTGCAAGCTTGCATAAAACTAGGGGAGCTCACATCAAGCTAAAAAATGAGCTTCAATTACAGTTCTCATGCATCCTGGAGTTCTAGGAACATTTAACTATACCTCCTTCATATTTCTTTACTTCACAAAGTGAAGGGTTCTGAGAGACATGATTTGTTAGACACATGACACTAATTGTGGGCCAAAAATAAATGAATAATCTGCATCTATTTAATTTCTGTTCATATAGGAAGGGTATGTGGAAAGATTTAACAAAATAAACCAATCAAAATCAAAACTGCTCTGAATCTTCCTCTTCAAGCAATAAGATGTGCACACACACACACACACACACTTATGCAGTCCCCCTGAAAATGCAATAGGTAGCTGACAGGTACACACCAGCCCTCTGAATAGGATTAAGAAAGAATGGTGTGTAAAATTTAAAAATGCATGTAAATACCTCAGACTCTCCCAACACCCTACACATACTTTACTTATGGGGAAGGTTTCTTTCTCTCGCCTTTTCCTTGAAGAGATTTTAGTGTGTGTTTAAGAAATTCTTATATCAGCTAGATTCTCTAAAATTCAAAGCCACCCATGTACCTCTTCTCTCAACCCCTGCTCATTTATAGTGATTTTTGGGAACACTATATGCTGCTAGTCCCTTTTTCTAACACCTCTCACCATGTGGAAGCTTGTACTTTCTGTCTCCACATTCCATTTCTGTCTCTAGCCTCCAAACATCTAGGCTGCAGCAGTGGACACTAATACAACATCTGAGGTTATAGCAAGCTTCCAGCTGCTGCGTATGCATCCTATTTCTCATTGGATAAGCACTGTCAGTTAATCAATGCACTAGAGGTCAATTTTGGTGAAGTTGACTTCACGTATTGCAATTCTCAACCAAATAACTAAGTTAGCAAAAGGATATCTTTTAAATTAGCATTTATTCATGAAAAGGTGATTTTTATGTTTCATATGTAAGTAGTGCACTACCTTATTAAATATTTATTCCCTGTATGAAAAGAGAAAGCCAATATATGATGTTTTAATTACTAATAATTTAATGAAATTGGGACTATATTTTAAGTGACTTGCTTCAGGTACTTTTCCATATAAAAAATATGTCCTCCCTTAATTAGGGCATTCTATCATAACAGTGCTTAGAATTTGTTTCTGTTGATGTGACTATAAATGTAAAAAGTAAGGAGATATTTTTCTGAATACAAACATGTTTATAATAAAAAAACTTAGTATCTGTGGAACTAGTAAAAACCCATGTGCACACAGAAACAGACTTCAAGATCTAAATGTTCTAAATTCCTTTGAGGCTGTATTAACACCTTTTGCGTAATCCATTTTAGTTTAAATCAGAGGAAGCAGCAATAATGCACTTAAAATATGAATATACAAGTAGAAGGCAAAGTGAAATATCAATATAAAGATAAACATTCCATCTTTATGGAGCACGCACAGCGGCTGCTTCTTAAGAACTAGCACTGTAGACCTGATGAATATGCTACTTAAGCAGATACCAGCTTTATCATGAACTGATGCAGGGAAATTTGCATCACAAACTGAAGAGAAGCCAATAGAAACGGTAGTCTTTATGGGCATTGAAACAGTACATATTTCCTGTTTCCATGGAGTTTAAAAAATGAGCTTCTAGAAGCTCAACTATCACTGGAGAACATTTTAGGACAATGCAACTCATTCAAGAGCTATTTCTTTCTAGTGAATTCTGTTAATTCCTCATGCTCTGAAGATATTAGCCATTACTTAACTATAGCCACCACTTACCAGTGCTAATAATCAAAATCTTTAAGAACTGATTTGCTATTGATCTGTTGTAACTTCTTACAACACTTTCCAACCTCTCTCCCCCTTATCCCAATATCAAAAAAACTGCATGGCAAAAAAGTGCATGCTATCACTTACTAAGAGAGCAATGAAATGGCTGTGTTGGCTCAGACAGCCATGCGTAACTGCACCGCATTCGCTTTGTCTTCATCTTACACTAAGTAGCCTTTTTTCTAATCTTGCTCAAATTGACAATATGCAGAAGTTAGAGAGCTTAATTATAGTTACTCTTATTCCAAGGTTCTGACAAGCACATACAGGAATATGGATGCAAAAGTGTTTAAATCTAAGGGAATGCCAGCATCATGTAATTAAAGTGTTGTATATATTGTTTTATGAAGTTTAACATACAATTTAAATTTCAGTTGCTCTTCTGAAATTAATATAAATGTCTGTTTACACTATAATTTTGAGTGGTCACAGACTTCTGGGATAACACATTAACTTTGTCAATTTTGTATTTTTTCTCTGTTCTAGCCTTTTTGGTAATCTTAAACTAGCACTAAGAATCTCACATGGGCTTAAATTTTAAGACTTTCATAGAATTAAAAATTACAAAACTTTCAATAACCCACATCTACAGCAGATATTCATCTCAGTGCATTTTCTAATAGCTAATTTACAGGTCACTGAGAGCCAGCTTGGGCAGCAGCATGGAATATTAAAAGCTATTGCCAGCCATACACTTGCTATCATGCACTGGATAAGAAGATATAATCTTTGAAACATACAAGATTTAATGACCAATCATTTTATGTGGCCCAGCCAACAAACATTACATTTGAACAGTAATCTCTATCCTCATCAGCTTTCAACCAATCAAGAGTGATCCATCGGCTCAGTTGTATTGGCAATCCCTGCATCTTGACTATCCATCTCCTCAGCCTCCTCAACAGAATTTCCTTTTTGTGCTTTAGGTCTTGTGTGGAATGTTGCTCCCATTGAATTTACCACATTGCCAGCAGTTGTTTCTGTATTTGAATGTTCAGTGCCACCTGTTACAGAAAAGGATTCTGGCAAATTAGCCTGAATGCTGCCAGTTTTAGGTGATGAACTCACTGCTTCTACTTTCCTTTGTGACAGATCGATTGATGCTGACTGCTCTGCATTCTGATCCCGCAGGTGTCTGTCCATTGATGCCTGAATAGAAGAAACCATTTCCTGTAACTTTTTTCGCTGTGCCTCAATCAAGGTAGGGTCAAGCTGCCTGCTGTCTCTCATTGTCACTACTCCAGGAGCTATGCGAATAAGCTCACTGTTACCAGAAGCAGCTGTGAATATAGAAGGCTCTATTTTAGTGGGACTGGGATTGAAGTCTGTTTCTGTGTTATGCTTTCTTAAAAGTGGTGTTTCCCTGGATTTTTGATCAAGTTGTTGGCTACTAGATGCAGTTCCTAGTGAGTGGCCCTTTCCTTGAAATGCAGTTACATTATGCAGTTGCTCAGACTTCTTTTTTACTACTCCACCACTACCTAATTTCAGAAGTCCATGTGAAGGACTTGATTCCCTGCTTCTTGAAGTAGCCTCTGCTCGTACTTGACTTAATGCCTCTTTAACCAAGTCTTCAACATCAGGACCAATAGGGAAGTGCCCAGCAGCATCCACACACAGCTCTAATCTATCTTCTGCTGCATTATACACAAAATTTTTACCAGGCAGATATGGAAAAGTACAGTGCTTGCCATCAGCCAGACCTATAGAAAAGATAGGGGGAAATCAATAGTGTTATTAATTAAAACCATTTTTTCTAAAAACATACTTATATTACGTAGTCAAATTCAAAATATTAGTTATGGTATCAGAAAACGGTAAAGTGATTATAGTAGACCTATTCAAGTGTGATCAGAAGATTTATGCAGGCTTTTCATGCAGTGACCACCACATTAGAAATAAACATTCTGTGCTGCTCTACAGCAAACACAAACATGCACCACAACAGGTTGGAACAAAGAATACATGGCAAGATATACAACTGTAATGTGTTGTTTGCTTACTCCACAGAGATGGCAAGGTATGAAGGTGAAAGCTGCAGAATATGCTTCCAGGATTCCAATAAATGCTAAGAAACAATATAACTAATGGATAGGCTGCAAACAGCTGATTTCAGGGAAGGGAATTTATTTTCAGAGAAGACTTCATTTTTAAATAATGCAGCCTTTGAACACAAGTTCTAAGTTTCAAGAAGCTGACTCTGATTTAGTGGTAGAGTATGTACTACCATACAGGATTAGAATTCAAGTCTGAATGCCAAAGGCTGGGTAATGCTTTTTAGGTAGCACACCGTCTGGAGGATGTCCCCCACTGAGGGCCCTATCTAGCCATTTTAGGAGCAGAAGGTGAAGTTTTCAAAAGCACCTAAGTGACTAAGGACCCGAAACTTCAATGAAAGTCAATATAACATAGGCTCCTACATGCCTAAAGCACTTTTGAAAATGGGACTTAGATGCTTTTAGAAATTTGACCCAGTGTCTTTTAGTACTCTCTCTCTCAGACTGTAAACTCTTTGGAGCACGGATTTTCTGTCTTTATAAATCAGACAGCACTGATCACCTTGGCAGCACTAAACAAACAAAAGATTGAGGGAGTTATATTAGCTGGAGCAATAGTTATCACAACATGGGGATGAATAAAAGATAGGCAAATAAAGGGAGAATCCTCAAGCATCAGAAGACCATCTTCACAGGGCAAGGAAGAGAGTTATACAGATCACAGCGTACAATCATTTTCTGAAATCCTAGCAATTTTGAAGAGACCCAGTTTTCCTTAAATTGTTCTAGTGTCTTGTGTGTAGAGGCAGCACAGCTTAGGTTAAAGCAGCCAGTTCCATAAGAGCATCTACAGGATCCTAACACTGGTTTTGTTTATATTAAGTTAACATTAAATAACTAGTAAGACAGGGTTGAGCTGGGGATAGTCTAAAACAGTGTTTCTCAACCCATGGGCCATGACCCCAAAATGGATCACAAGAATGTATGAAAGGGTTGCAAACAAACTTTAAAAATAGATCATATTTGGATTTTCTTTTTAAAATAGATGCCACTTGTGTTTTACCGTATGTTAACACTGTGCATACCAATGGTATTACCTTTGGAGCAGCCTTCAGAGCTGGGCGGGATGAAGAGTAGCATGGTATCGTATGGTATTGCCACCTTTACTTCTACACTGCTGCTGGCAGCAGCTTTAACTTATTATTTTTATTGTTATTATTACATGTAGTGGATAATAAGTATTTTGGGGCCAAAATACTTGTTTTCTACTTAAGCTATTTACTGGGTCAATATTGGCCATCAACATTTACAAATAGGTCCAAAAAAGGTTGAGAACCAGTGGACTAAAACATGTAAGTGTTCAGTATAGAATGGCATGAGCCCACAAGAACATGACACATTTCCAGATGAGTATTACAAAGAGGCAGCAATTTGAAATAAGATTAACTATAAACTGAGGCTAGACAGAGGTAAAATGTCAAAAATTTTAGTCAATTTTTTCCAGCCAGAGACCTGTAGTAGATCTAAAAATCTAGCAACTGACACTGCAGTTAGACATCCACGGTTGGCCTGTGCCAGCTGACTCAGGCTCACGGGGCTCAGATTAAGTAGCTGTTTAATTGCAGCGTAGAGATTCCGGCTCGGGCAGTTGTCCGAGCTCTGGGACACTCCCACCTTGCAGGATCCTAGAACTCGGGCTCTAGCCTGAGCCAGAACATCTACACCGCAATTAAACAGCCCCTTTGATCAGATCAGATGGCACAGACCAGCTGCAGGTTTTTAAACTGCATTGTAGACATACCCTCAGTCACTTAAAGTAGGAGGGCAGGGAGTGTGTGCTATTAGGAAGGTTTCTATATCACTGGAATTGTGGGAGGATTTTAGTAAGCTGTGTTCCCGACAGCATTTAGGCCTCAAGAATATGGATTGTAATAGTTAAATATCTTCTTCTCAGAAAGAGAAATGTCACTGAGCCACAGAATGTCTCAGTCCACTACATGCAGTGAGCCTACAAAGCGGGGCGGGGGTGTTGGGGGGAGGTTTTTTTTTTAAGAAACATAACATGTTATAAAACTATGTTTAGTGATCTACTGCTCCATTGCCCATCTGATTCTGCAGTGTTCCTGCCAGGGCTGGTTCAAGCAAGGTTGGAGCGCCATGCAGTCATTTTGATTGAGCTTCCAAGCTGTTGTGTGAAAGAAGGGGATACATCCCGATCTCTCAGAGTGTTCCAGTTGTCACCACAGAACAGACTTGCATGAGCTATTCAGTGTTACATGTAGTGCTGGACTGTGAGCAATAAGACAGCATTTTAGTGCTGGTGGGGCCCTGTGGCTTAGGGACCATCCACCAACAAAGACTTTGCAGCACTGCCTGAGCCAGTTCTGTTCACTGCAATTCTCATATTAGACCTACAAAATTTACAATATCAGAAAAGCAGCAAAAATGGGCATTTTTGTGGCATTTCCTGTATATTCTCTTGCAATTCTTGGGGAAAAAAGCAGAAATTATTCAAGGGTAGAAAAATACAGAAAACCACTATTTCTTTATGTCAAACAGAATGAAGTCAAGCAAATATTTTGGTGGCATCAACAAAAAAGGCACTAAAATCATTTTAAATATGTTAAATTCATTGTTTCACATTGAACTCAGAAAAGATGATGACAAGTATAAAAAGATGATCACTTATTACAGATCAAGTTAGTCAATATAAGGGCCTATTTGGCTGAAAATACCCTCCATTGCTACTGGTCCAGAGACCTGCAGCTGCAGAGAGATGGCAGGCCAAATTCAGTCTTCAGAAGAGCTACATGCACACAACTCCCATGATGCCAATGGGAGATACACACCTTCACAAATAACCAAGAGCAGAATTTGGCCTCAAATTGTTACCCTCCTCAGTGGCCTCTAAGGGTTTCAGGAATTAAACATCTCTGTCTTTCCTACAGCGCAGTCAGACTTAACACACCTGGAGATACATATACACACACACAAATACATATACACACACACACACACACAAATAAATCAATAGTGTCAGGTTCTTGACATGAAAATAAGAGGCCTCTAACACACATGCTCATGATATTTCCCAAATCTCTCAACTTGAATGGGTTCTTCCCTAACCCACTGAAGATCACTCATCTGGAGCGTATATGGACCCAGAGACATTACGCTCATTTCTGGATGACAGGATTGTTCCAGAGGTAAGCCTGATGAAATATGGACCTATGCAGTTCAAGAAACAGTTCATGTGTTTGAGTTCTTTCTTCCCTGTTTCTGTACCTTTCATCTAGTTTTAAGAATATTTCCATAACAGACTATTAACTCTGAATAGGTAGTCCTGTGGTTTGAAAGGCCATGGATAGGATCTGAGAGATTAACAGTATTTATACTCTACTATAAAACTTGATTTTGTATTACTATCACTTACAGAACTTAAAAATACATGCACTCCTGTTTCTCCAGTGAACTGATGATACAAAAGTTACAGCTTCAACTTCCCTCGCTCGCACAAAGGAGTAAGTTCCTTCACTGTGTATTACTAGTTACATAACCATAGCAATTTAAAATATTCATACCACTTCAAAGCGTTATTTGTAATTTAATGTTAATACTTATCCCATTTGCCTACCTTCTTAGACACTAATACTGGAAAAATAATTCATGGTAATGCAGCAACATTCAAATACAAAAGTTGTGTCTCCTCTCACTTTCTTTTCATGTTTCCTTAGCTGGCAATAGTGACTTCTGGGTCAGGCATTTCCTGTCAGTTAATCACCAGTTGGTGTTTGGCTTTAACGCAGGCCCTCAATTCCAGGTGGTTATTAATGAAGAAGGAACAATAATAACAGGAACTGTGGAAATGGCAGAAATGCTAAATGACTTTTTTGTTTCAGTTTTCACCAAAAAGGTTAGTAGTGATTGGACGTCTAACATACAGAATGCCGGTGAAGATGAGATAGGATCAGAGGTTAAAATAAAGAAAGAACAAGTTAAAAATTACTTAGACAAGTTAGATGTCTTCAAGTCACTAGGGCCTGATGAAATACATCCTAGAATACTCAAGGAGCTGACTGAGGAGATATCTGAGCCATTAGCGATTATCTTTGAAAAGTCATGGAAGACCAGAAAGGTTCCAGAGGATTAGAAAAGGGTAAATTCAGTGCCAATCTATAAAAAGGGGAATAAGGACAACCCAGGGAATTACAGACAAGTCAGCTTAACTTCAGTACCCAGAAAGATAATGGAACTAATAATTAAGCAATCAATTTGCAAACACCTAGAAGATAATAAGATAAGTAACAGTCAGCATGGATTTGTCAAGAACAAATAGTGTCAAACCAACCTAACAGCTTTCTTTGATAGGGTAACAAGCCTTGTGGATAGGAGCAAAGTGGTAGATACGGTATATCTTGACTTTAGAAAGGCTTTTAATACGGTCTCACATGACCTTCTCATAAATGAGCTATGGAAATACAATCTAGATGGAGCTACTCAAAGGTGGGTGCCAGAGCTTAATTTGTGCCAGGGCTTGCCAGGACTGAGCCTCAGCAGCTCTAGGCTTGGTAGTTCATAGCCCCAGCACCAATGGGCTTGGCGCGTGAGTTATGAATGTAAAACAACTGCTTGAGTCCCGGCACTTCTTTCATTACAAATTAAGCATTGGTGGGTACATAACTGGTTGGAAAACCATTCCCAGAGAGTAGTTATCAGTGGTTCACAGACAAGCTGGAAGGGCATATCAAGTGGGGTCTCGCAGGGATCAGTTCTGGGTCCGGTTCTGTTCAATATCTTCATCAATGATTTAGATAATGTCAGAGAGTACACAAAGTTTGCAGATGATACCAAGATTGGAGGGGTTGCAAGTGCTTTGGGGAATAGGATTAAAATTCAAAATGATCTGGACAAACTGGAAAATGATCTGAAGTAAACAGGATGAAATTCAATAAGGACAAATGCAAAACACTCCACTCAGGAAGGAACCATCAGCTACATACATACAAAATGGGAAATGACTACCAATGTGGTATATGCCATCATGTGCCAGCAATGCCCCTCTGCCAGGTACATTGGCCAAACTGGACAGTCTCTATACAAAAGAATAAATGGACAGAAATCTGACATCAAGAATTATAACATTCAAAAACCAGTAGGCGAACACTTCAATCTCCCTGGACACTCAATAACAGACTTAAAAGTGGTAATTCTTCACCAAAAAAAACTTCAAAAACAGACTCCAACGAGAAACTTCAGAACTGGAATTAATTTGCAATCTGGACACCATCTAATTAGGCCTGAATAAAGACTGGGAGTGGATGGGTCACTACAAACACTAATTTTCCCCCTGCTGATACTCACACCTTATTGTCAACTGTTTGATATGGGCCACCTTGATTACATTGAACTCATTAGCACTACAAAAGTGATTTTTCCTCCCTTCTTGTCAACTGTTGAGAATAGCCCACTTCCACCTTAATTGAACTGGCTCATTAGCACTGACCCCCCCACTTGGTAAGGCAACTCCCATCTTTACATATGCTGTGTTTATTTATACCTTTCTACTGTATTTTCCACTCCATACATCTGATGAAGTGGGTTTTAGCCCATGAAATCTTATGCTCAAGTGAATTTGTTAGTCTCTAAGGTGTCACAAGGACTCCTCGTTGTTTTTGCTGATACAGACTAACACTGCTACCACCCTGAAACCTGCATAGGATGGAGTACTGCAGAAAGGGATCTGGGGTCATAGTGGATCATAATCTAAATATGAGTCAATAGTGTAACACTGTCCCAAAAAAAGCAAATATCATTCTGGGATGTACTAGCATGAATGTTGTAAACAAGACAAGAAGCAATTCTTCTCCTCTATGCTGCACTGATTAGGCCTCAGCTGGAGTATTGTGTCCAGTTCTGGGTGCCATATTTCAGGAAAGATGTGGACAAATTGGAGAAAGTCCAGAGAAGAGCAACAAAAATTATTACAGATCTAGAAAATAATGACATATGAGGGAAGATTGAAAAAATTGTGTTTGTTTAGTCTGAAGCAGAGAAGACAGGCAGTGAATACGATAACAGTTTTCAAGTACGTAAAAGGTTGTTACAATGAAGAGGGAGAAAAATCGTTCTCCTTAACCTCTGAGGATAGGACAAGAAGCAATGGGCTTAAATTGCAGCAAGGGTGGTATAAGTTGGACATTAGAAAAAGCTTCCTGTCAGGGTGGTTAAAGTGGAATAAATTGCCTAGGGAGATTGTGGAATCTCCTTCATTGGATATTTTTAAGAGCAGGTTAGACAAACACATGTCAGGGATGGTCTAGATAATACTTAGTCCTGCCACGAGCGCAGGGGACTGGACTAGACCTCTTGAGGTCCCTTGCAGTCCTACGATTCTGTGATTCTATAATTGCCCAGAAATGTCCTCTCCATCAGCCATTGTTAAAACAAATTCACAAGCTACACAAAATATACCATTCTCCACAGCATAGATTAAACATGCAGAAAGATGGAAAACCAGAAAGAGACCAAGAATTAAGTTGAAAATAATGGGCATGAAATATCACTGAAGCATTAATGAACTTTACAGATTTCTGTAGAAGAGTATGGGATGAGTTGTGTGAGTTTATTAACCATAAATCATGCTCATTGTTGCAGGGCTGTCTCAAAGCAAAAACACATTTTTCTATACACTATGATAAACATGTATTTAACATACAATGAAGAGATGATTGATGTGGTACAGCTGTTTCAACCCAGAATCAAGAGTTTAGCGGAAATTAGTAAAACAGAATCTAGAAATAAATCGAGTGGTGAGAAAGCAGAAGAATGAGTGCTAATCGAGATGATGCCACAAGAACTAAGTTGTACTCTGAGTGCAAAGACTTGGGGAAGAAAATACTAATATTTCAGAGAAGGAACTTAAAGAGAATCAGGTACTATTAATAGCATAACTGCTCAAAAGGAAACATTATTTCCCTTGTAGAAAGCTGTTTTCTCAGATTCTAAAATTAGTTTCTGAAGAATATAAATTTGTTCTATCTGCTTGCTTTGGTCTTCAGCATATCAAATTACTGGAATTTCCAACAATACATGAACATCCACTTCATATATGGAAACGAATTAACAATATCACCTATGCATTTTAGAGCACGAAGAACAGAACTTTGAAAGCCTTTATAAAAGAAAGAAAAAAAAATCACTATTTCCTCAGACTGCAGCCTCATGCCATGCAAAGCTGTGAAAACCATGGCACTTAAACCCAGTTATCTTGCATTCAGCAAAGAAGAGCAGCTAACATACAGAAACTATTTTCCTTAATTATGCAGCTCAGGAAGCTTAACTGGAGATACATAGCTAGGGCCCTACCAAAGTCATGGCCATGAAAAACACACCACGGACCATGAAAGCTGGTCTTTTGCGTGCTTTTACTCTATACTATACACATTTCACAGGGGAAACCAGTTTTTCTCAAATTGGGGGTCCTGACCCAAAAGGGAGTTGCAAGGTTATTTTAGGGGCATCACAGTATTGCCACCCTTACTTCTGTGCTCCCTTCAGAGCCAGGCACCCAGCTCTGAAGGCAGCGCTCTGCCAGCAGCAGTGCAAAAATAAGGGTGGCAATACCATACCATGCCACCTTTACTTCTGCGCTACAGCCTTCAGAGCTGGGCAGCCGGAGAGTGGTGGCTGCTGACAATGGCCCAGCTCTGCAGGCCGCAGCGCAGAAGTAAGGGTGGCAATACCATACGATGCTATCCTTACTTCTGCACTGCTGCTGCTGGTGCCGGCTCTGCCTTCAGTGCTGGGCTCCCAGCCAACAGCCGCCACTCTCCAGCTGCTAAAGGTAGCAGTACTGCAAGCCCCCCTATAATAACCTGGTCACCCTTCCCCCGCCCACACTCCTCTTTGGGTCAGGACACCTACAATTACAAAACCATGAAATTTCAGATGTAAATAGCTGAAATCATGAAATTTTCGATTTGTAAAATCCCATGACCATGAATTTGACCAAAATAGACCATATATTTGGTAGGGCCCTATACATAGCTGTACAGAGACAATTTTAGAATGAATACTCTGGGTAACTTTCCTTCATGACTGTATAATTTCGCTGGAAACAGCTACCAACATTCATAACCTCAAAATATTTTACACAATTAGCAGGCTTACTGCTACTGGAAAGCATCCCATACATAATTACTTTATTATACCCAGATTAAGTTTTAAAATAAGTATTATTTAGTCATATAGACTATCTTTAGGTTCCTACATTGTGCCCATCACTATGGCATCTGAGCACAGTACTTCTATTAGTAAGAATGTAGGGAAGTTACAGAAAAGGCCAAAAACAGTGTTCCGTTGGCCATCAATGTTGGGGTTTCCTCTTCACTGCTGGTTTCTTCTGCAACCTAAGCAGCAGTATAAAATGCAGCTGCAGACTCTGAAGTGCTAACGTTCCAGTTGAATCAATACTTTGAGGGGGAAGCATGGGTGGTCACAATGGAGGTGTGATTTGGTCCAGATTCTATGGGATTTTCATACTCTTAACACTTAGCCACTTATAGCTGGTTCCCCTTCTAAGATGTAAGAATTTCAGAATCCTGTCAAGTGCCATGCCATTTTAAGGAGAAAGTTTCTTGCAGAAATTCAGAAGGGCTGTTTCCATGACCGAGAAAGACTGATTTCAAGTGACTAAACAAATCTGCTCCACATGACTAACAAAGAACCGGAGCCAGTTTGTAATCCTACAAACAACTGTTGGTAACCCCTTTTGTGAATCACAACCCATATGTTGAGAACCCCTACTCTAAAAAAATTACAAAGTAGCATTTGAAGAAATAGAAGCATTTATTCAAGCTACCATGAAAACCAACTACCGGTTGGTTCAGTTTATATGGTTGCAGTTCCTGTGTTAAAGATAGTGAAAGAAAGTTAATATGTACCTGGTGCATATTAATTGTGTTTTTAAAACAGAGCAAACAAAAAGACTTGCTAAACCCTGGCTTTTTGGACACATCTAGACATGCAAGTTCCAAGCCTAGGCTCTGGAATTTCCATGGTTCAGCAGTCACAGATCTAAATTTTTGATGCGTGAAGTCCTACAGATTTAAATAATTTTAACCTGAATATATTGTTTAAAATGTTGTTTTCTCAAATAGCATGCTTTTTACTTCATTGTCCCCCATTTTGGAACTTTACTAATTTTTTCCATTTAATTTATTCTAAGAAATGAGGGAGCACTAGAAGTTGATATGGCATTACTAAATTGAAAGAAAGTGTTATGGCAGTGCAGTCCAAGATCTTGGCTATATTTAAAAATACAAATTAAGGATGCTCGAGGTGCAAACACCTCAGTATCAATTTTCTCATTCTTCATGATTTGAGAAGATTCATGCCAAGATTTTAATAATTTTAACCTCAAAGTTAGAAACAAACTGTACCCGTAGTTTTCTTCATTATGCTGTAGAACACCCCACCCTGCTGAAACAAGTGAGGAAGCCCCTTTGCATATGACCAAACATCTTCTCCTGTAAGACAAAAAATAGAGTAATAGTTAGAAGCAAGCAGTCATGTTTAGTGATACAGGGTAAAATTTTCAATAGTCAGTGTTTAATTTATGCCAGGGCTTACCAGGGTTGAGTCCCAACACCTCTAGGCTTGGCCGTTCATAACTCTGGCACCTCTGGGCTCGCTGCATCAGTTATGAATGTAAAAAAATTGCTTGAGCCCTGGCACTTCTTTCATTACAAATTAAGCACTGTCAAGAGTGTCTAAGTGATTTAGGAACTTAAGTCCTATCAATAAGCCTTAGGACTCCAAGTCACTTAGGACGTTTTGAAAAATTTTACCAACAGTCCCGACACAAGTACTCGTCACACTTAAGAACACAAATAGAAAGGAAACATTAACTCTGCTGTCCCAGCCATCTCGTAACTCAGGTGGAATGATTTTATATCTCATTTAAAGGATGCCACCTTTAACAGGCCACCTCTTAGGACTGTAGAGAAGCAACCTAGTCTAACAGGACCATGCAAGGGTCTGGAATCCCAGAAACACTGGCTTCTGGTCCCAGCTCTGCCAATGATTTATGAAGGGAGCCTGGCAAGTCAGTTAATCTCTCTGCTTCTATTTCCCATCTGCAAAATAAGGAAAATGCCAACCACTTACCTGCCTCATAGGAACAAGAAGCAATTTAATTAGCATTGTACTGTGACCAACTAGGTCAACTGACATTATTACTGCCCTATCTACATTTAGTATCAGCCCAAATTCTAGAGTGGAACTTGAACCCAATCTTCTGACCCAGAAACAAACTAACTGGACAATTGATTTTTTTTTAAGAGAGATAATTCACTTTTTTTACTTGGTACTGCACATTCTAAAAAAGTGAAATGGAAAAGTATTCGGAGATTTAAAAAGGAAAAAAAAAAACAGTGTAAGAGCCTTCTTCTGCAGATCTTGCATCATAAACAGCCATGTATTTCTCTGTCTTAAATCTCCATCAAATCCTGTCAGCTGAAGCAATGTCAAATAATAAATAGCACCAAGGAAATAAGTTAACTATATCTGCTATTTGGGGAGACAGTATGCATGAAACATGCCATAAAATATCACCCTTCAATACTTTTTCAGTCAGTAGGGGATACAAGCTAAAATGCAAAGTAAGGTAAACTAGAGAGTCACATACTTCATAAAAAGAAAAGGAGTACTTGTGGCACCTTAGAGACTAACCAATTTATTTGAGCATGAGCTTTCGTGAGCTACAGCTCACTTCATTGGATGCATACCGTGGAAACTGTTGCAGACTTTATATACACACAGAGAATATGAAACAATACCTCCTCCCACCCCACTGTCCTGCTGGTAATAGCTTATCTAAAGTGATCATCAGGTTGGGCCATTTCCAGCACAAATCCAGGTTTTCTCACCATCCACCCCCCCACACATGGGCTATCACCAGCAGGAGAGTGAATTTGTGGGGGGGGGAGGGGTGGATGGTGAGAAACCTTAGACCCTTACAGAGGGGGTTGAAGCTAATGCTCAATGTGTCCACACCCACCCTTTGCTTTTTCTGATTTTCACAAAAAACAATTGGAGTCTGACAACTGATGCCTAGACCATTCCCTGAAATTTTGGAATTGATTAGATGTACTGTTCAAAAATTATCATGTTACAAATAGATAGAAATGCCATTGAGTTGAGCCAGAAAGCCTCGGTTCTCTCAGCCAACAAATAGGATGACACACTATTGCTTCTGTTCAAATATTTTCTCTCCTATTTTTTTTTAAAAAATCCTTTCAATCAGAGAAGCTGCCACTACTCTTTCAGAAGCAATTATATTAGAAGATTTCACAGTTCCTGCAATGCAGCTCCACAAATCTGCCATACTTTTAAAGTGCTAACACAGTATAGCTATATCTAGGCAAGTGTTAGGGCAGCGCAACATAGCACTAGGAGAAAGCTCTCCCAGTGCTATTAAAAAACCCCCACCTCCAAGAGAGGAACAGCTACCAGCGCAGCTCCTTGTGCTGGTGCACTGTCTACACTGGCACTTTGCAGCGCTCAGGGGGATGTTTTTCACACCCCTGAGCAAGAAAGTTGTAGCGCTGTAAAGTGCCAGTGTAGACAAGCCCTTAAGTTACCTGAACAAAAATGTTAGCAGCCAGTAGAAAAACGATCTGATATTTACAACTCACAGCTTTGCCACGATCATGAACTATGACACTGTAAGCTCTTTGGGGTAGAGAGTGTCTTTCTGTTCTGTTTGTACAACGCCTAGCACATTGGGGTTCTGGTCCATGACAGACTCCTAGGTGCTATGATAATACAAATAAATAATAATGCTATTCTAAAGACAACAATCCAAGATAATATTCCAAATTTTAATCAATAAGGTTGCAGAATGTATATGAACTAAAATAGACTCTGACCAAATAAAATGGCTTTAATGCCATACTTCCATATCCATCAGCTTTTATGTTAGTTTGGAATCAAACAGTTTAACACTTCAGCAAATTCCATTGCACTTCTTAAACAAACTCACTTAAAAAAAAGTGTATTTTCTGTACTCTTTGTAGTCAAAGGCTGAACTGTGTTTTTTGCGCAAATGTTCCAGAGGTCATCCTCTGGCTGAGACCAGAACTGGCAAATTTCATCCTGGCAGGTGAAAGTTATATGCAACTCATACATGCCCTTTACAATGAAAAATATTTATGCAACCTTAACTATATGTCTGCTATATTGCTGCTATAAAAAGCTGCCCCTACTTAAAAAAAAAAAAAAAAAAAAAAAGAGGTAAGAGGAAGTTTGAGAAGGGCTGGTAGTTGATGAGGTTTTCAAATCAAGACGACTGTTTCTTGATTCTAAATACCTGTTCAAAACTATCAGATATCTAGTATCCCAAGTGAAGCACTGATGGAGACTGTCAATGGGGGCCCAATGTCTCCTTGGCTGGTTTTCACTAATCATAAAGAACATGGAACCATCTCATCGATCAGGGGCGGGCAAACTTTTTGCCCTGAGGGTTTCCGAAATTGTATGGAGGGCTGGTTAGGGGAGGCTTTGCCTCCCCAAATAGCCTGGCGTGACCCAGCCCCCGCTGCTTCTCGCCCCCTGACGCCGACGCCCCCTCCCCCTCCCCCCTCCGCCAGGACTCCTGCCCCATCCAACCCTCCCTGTCCTGACCTCCCCTGGACCCTCCGCCCCGACTGCCCCCCCCGCCGCCCTATCCAACCCGTCCTCTGGATGTGGCCTGCGGGCCGTAGTTTGCCCACCTCTGTCATAGATGGTTGCTCATCTCTCTAAGTGCACCCCAAACCTTGGAAAGGTTAAAAAAATACTGTAAATATTCTTGTTTTATATATACTCATTTTCATTTAGGCTAGGATTTTTAAAGGAAAATAAGGGAGTTAGGAACCCAAATCGCATCGAAAGGATTTGAATTTATTTCCCATTGGTGCTTTTGAAAATCACCAAACATTAAGCTAGACTTGTGCTTTATCTAATGTACTATTATAAAGAAAAGCAAAATTAAATTCATATAGTTGCTCTTCACTGTATAAAAAGGCATATTATGATGACATTTAAGTGTTCCCTTTACTGTGTTACTAACATTAACATATAATTAAAAAAGAAGAACATTTTAAATGTACTTTTCACCCTTAAGATATGCTGCATTTATTTTTTGAATATTAACCTTGGTCAGTAAAAAACTCCTAATAGTTTCACTTTGTTTCTCATCAGTTTTGCTTCCCAGTTGTTACACACTACAGCATTCTTGCTGAGTTCACAACACTGCCAGGAAATAAAACTTCTGTTTCCATTTAATTAAGATGTGGTCCTAACAATTCTGCTCACGTTAAATTTAACCACCTTTTTATTTCTTTTTTTAACTATCTAGATTGTGTATGAAGAGAGTCTAATTGCAAGGAGTATGAATAATGCCTCTGAATCATAGCACATTTAGTGCATCTTACACTTGTGCAGTTATTGATTAATTACAGCAAGGCAGAGCTTCAAAAATTAACAACAGTATCAATTAACCTAGGGACCAAGGCTACTAATCATGACGAAAAATTGCCTCCTGAAATTTAAAATGACTAACATTTGTGCACTGTTCATTCTGTATTGTATTTAGGTTTGGCAGAATTCAATTTTTTATTTTAAATAATTTTGACAGATAAACATCTGCTGCTGCCCCATGTCAGATGACTTGGGCTCGCAGGGGTCAGGCTAAGGGGATGTTTAATTGTGGTGTAGACATACAGGCTCACGGTGGAGCCCAGGCTCTAGGACCCTCTGAGGAGGTGGGACACAGAGCTTGGGCTCTAGTTGAGCCCAAACAGCTACACCACAATTAAACAGCCCCTTAGCCCTAGCCCTGTGAGGCTGAGTCAGCTGACAAGGGCCAACTACGGATGTTAAATTGAAGTGTAGACATACCCTTTATGGATCCAGAGCACCCCTCTGCTGCTCAGAGCTTTCCCAAGCAGCAGCAAGCTGAAATCATGGTTGCCCACAGTGTTCTGAGTAACTAATACATTGATAACTAAGGAAATATAATTTTGACTCTGCTGCAGCTTGGGAACGCTATGACCAGCAGCAATGCAGGCATTATAGCTGTGTAAGGCTTAAGACAGACAGTACTGTATCATTTGACACTCTGTTCATATTTGGAAGGTTCTATTCTTTCCACAGTCTCTTGAGAACTTGAAACTTTTTAAACTAAAAGCTTTGATTTTGCAGAATTAAATGGCATTCAGCCAGGAAAGATTCCTGTTTGCCCCAAGAAAATGGATTTTTGAAGCACTGCAGCAAAGGAGCTGCTTAGTTTATACGCTCTTTTATGTAACATTAAGAAGGACTATATATCAGGGAAGCACAAGGATGGAGAAGAAAGCTCACACCATAGTAGTGTCAGCCATAGGAAGAAACATATGAAAGGATTGTGATGTTTTAATGAACAGATCTCAGATGGGAGGAAGAAAATGTATCATCACATCTGGACAGACTCATTTTAGTGGCACTGTAATGCTATTTGCAATTCAAGTATTAGCAAGTTACCTTTGGGGTCTATACATTTGTCCTGTGTTGCTGGGTTAGGTTCTTTTCAATGCTCAGAAGATGGGTTTAATAAAACAGCATATTAATCTGGCAGATCACACAATAGGATTTAGAAACTCCCTCAGGACTCCACATATCAGAGATGATACTCGTAGTAATATGTTGGAGTATGCTGATTACACAGTGGTTATGGATTCCTTAAGAACAGACTTCTGCACTTCAACTTCAGATATGGCTCCAAGAATGACAGCATTGTATTCTCAGGAAGTATATGCACCTGCTTTCTTTCAACAACAGAAATGAGGCAGCCTAACCTATATTTATTTATATATATATATATATATATTTTTTTTTTTTTCAATGACACCCCAACAGTCAGTTCATGCACTGGGAGGAGAGGACACAAAACAAAAATCAGCTACTTGAGCTTTCAGTTTAGGCCTGTCTACACAAAGAAGTTGCCTCACTTTAACTAAAATCAGTTTTAAAATCAGTTTAGTTAAACTAGTACAAGCCCCTATATTGACACACTTAGTAGTTTAAACCTGGTTATATCCGCTTATCCAACACCTGCTAATTTACCAGCACAAGCCAAACCCATCTAAATAGGTTTAAACCTGACTTGTGAGAGAACACAAAGGGTTTTGCAATGGTTAAACTAAATTGGTTTAAAAAGACACCTTTAGTTAAACCGCAACTCTGTGTTTAGAGTAGGTCTTTGGGAACAGAAAGTAGTTCCTGTGTGTGGTGTGGGCTTCTAAATTTCAAGCCAGGCAAAAACGGGGGAGAAAGCCAGGGCCAATTTTTCACAGATCAGATATAAAGCATAAAGCAAAAGTCCAAAAAAATAATAATGCAAAGTGTCCAGTTTAAAGTTCTGTAAAAAAATCACAATTTAGAAGTTAGTTGAACACAGCATAAATGCTCCAGAGATCGCTGGTCAAGATCTTTAATTAACTTGTTGATCTAGAAATACTTGCACCAAAGAGAGAGCTTTCAGTCACTCAAATAGGCTGAACTGGTGCTCCTTCCATTAAAAAGCCTGGACATGGTTTCCCCCAGTGTCGAAGAAAAGTTTTCCAGCATCCAGAAAGACCAACAACAGATTTTCCAAAATGGATTTTCCTTGTAAGCATGAAAATGTAAAACATAATTTTCAGGCATGTCTTTTCTCTCTCTACCTCGTCTAATCCAAGTCCATCGGATTTTATTGGCAAGAGCAAATATTATGCTATCCTCTCTCACTCTGTAATAAGAGAAGCACAGACTCTTCAGACTTTGTAATACTGTAGCTAGGTGGCAACTATCATTTATATAGCATGATGGCTGAAAGCATCACATCTGAAATGCTCACAGTCCCCTGCATCCCAAGAATACTACACACTTTTCCTGTGAGAAATTAAAAGAATTGTTTTCATAACATTGTTTGAAGTCTTAGCTGCCTGATCAATTAATGAATGGAACGAATAATAGAGCTGTAATAGAGTAGCAAGCAGTCAGTTGTCAGCACAAATTCTCTCCAGAAGTCATTAGAATAAAGTATGGTTTTGATCAGAAGAGTGACTATGTAAAAATAGCATCTTACTCAATGACTTTGTTCTGTGTAATCGGTCATAGCTGTTTACTTTTTAGAGAAAAAAATGTGTCTGCTACCATTTATTCTATTAACACTGAAAAGAGAATACAGCCATAAGAGAGTGAGCTGGATTCTTTTTCTAGCTTGTTCATCAACAAAACTGTTAACAAAGCTCCAAATGCAGAATCTTGAACTAGTGATGTAGTCTCTGATCCCAGGCTGAGCTTGCAGTGTTCACAATTTAACACTATTTACTTGTAAACAAAGCAGGTTTGATACAGAAATCATTGGAACAAATGTAAAATGCCAGAGTGCTTTTTTGAGTGTCAGTTATCACTGCATTTTCAAGAGTATTTTCTGGGGATCTTGTTATACATTCTGAGTGGGTATTTTAGGGCTCCATCTTAAAGGAAAGGAGTTTTTAATCAGACTATTCCAAAATGGGCCCTTGAGACACATATGACAACCTAATGTCTCAGCTAGTGGTTCAAAATGCTATCATACAGGAGATCTGGGTGTAGTCAGACTCATAAGAAATTAAAATAATAAGGTGTAGGCCTCTGTCACTGCACTCTCCGATTATGAAATTGTTTTGTTTTTAAATATCACGTTTTACTTTCTATTAGCCAAACTAATTCCCTCAAGCAAAGGAGAAGGCCCATTCCAAACAAACACTCGAAATATTACTATTCTGTGTGCTTGTCCAGCTAATGTACTACAGTGAACATTGTACTTCCTGGAAATAAGTAAGAGGAATTGTTGCACTGAGTTATGCAAAGCCATTTCAGCTTAGCACACTGGTACATTAGTGGGACAAAAACAGAGCAGAGAATGGGAAAGAGGAAGCAGAACAGAAGAGAAAAACAGAAATAAATAGAAGAAAGGAAAAATAAAAACTAACAGTACTAGAAACAGTCTTTCTTGTCAGCCACCAGAAGAGTAAGTTTAGACATCAGAAAGGGAGAGTAACATTGAAAAACACTTGAGTCATCTGAGCCCACTTAGGAAAAATGAAAATAAGATGACAAGAAAAAGGAAGCAGAGAAGAGTCCCTTCTTCTGGCATTATGACTACCTCAAATTCACATTTTTCAACTGTTTTCAAGTGAAGCTTCTCCAACTTACTGGTTAATTTGGGACTCAAATATATTCAGCTTCTTTCTTTGCTATCTATTGCTTCTCCTCTGCTTACATTAAGCCAATTACAATACTAAACTACTGTTCCTCACTATGTTTCAGTCTACATATAAAGTTGCACCAACTTAGTCTAAGGTGCAATGTTGCATTGACTTAACTGACCAGCGCAACCTTTTGTATGGCAAGCTGTAAGGCTTTATCTCTGTACAAAATTAAGAGTTTAGGTAGCATCCAAACTTCCAATTAAACAAAAGCTCACTATTTTCTTCTCATCCCCTTAGCCTACATCCATCCGTGCATCCTCTGAAGTCTGGGTGGGGGTGGGAAGAGTAACTTATGTATACACCACATCTTACCCTCAGAAGGGACTGGGGGAAAAAAACAGAATGAGCTCAGAGAGGGCTCCACAAAGACACAGAGTAGAAGGTATTTTCTGTATTGTGTTAAAAAAAAATATGAACTATAGATACCTCACAAGGCAAATTAAATACAAATTAAAGTTAGTCTTACCCATTAATGTTGCTAGAAGACACAATGAGTACATTTCTTTATCAACTTGCTCTTGCAACTCCTTGGAAGATATTTTACTGGTTACTGCAACATCTTCACGTTTCACAGCATGGGTTGAGGGTGCTGAAGTAGACTGACTGCCTTCTTCCTTACCTTTGAAGATCTCTATAGTTATTTTATCACCATGCTGCAAGGGAACTGGCTCGTTTTCCATTCCTTCCTTGGGTGGCAGAAGCTCTTTGGGAGGAAAGCCATAGCGAATACATTGCAAGTATGGAGGAATATTAAATTCTCTGGCTATACTTTCCTGCAGCTCCACGAATGTGGTTGTGGACTTCAATGTAAGCATAGACTGTCGCCCATCATTTGTTGTTATTCGGATCTTCTTTTCTTTTGTGGAAGTTGGAGAATAAGGGCTCTTTGTAGGCGTAGCAGGAGCAGATGATGGCCCATCACGAACAGTACCAGGGGAAGTAGTCCTAGGTTGCCCTTTTTGTTCTTGTTTTAATTTTTCAGTTTTCCGTTTCTGCATTACAGAAGCCTGGTCTGCAATGTTCTGTTGAATAGTTCTTTCAGTTTTACTCATATTTAACTCTTCCTTGTGCAAAGTTTTCATTTTCTGTCCAGTGAGAATAATTTTGGTTGGAAGTTGCGAATCTAAGTCTTGTCCTTGTATATCATCAGCTCTTTGCGCATGAGCACTATCAATATTTACAGGAGTATAATCATCAGGGTTCTTTTTGGCAGTCTGATGTAATATTGTATTAACAACTTTCTGAACAAGAATCTCACTACCAAATTCACCAGGAAAATGTTTGGTAACAAGTTTCATTGCAACATCATACACGTTACTGTTAAGAGTTGTATCACTTTCATACTGGAACCAATATACAGTCTCTCTCACCACTCTTCCACCCCATTCTAAAGTAATAGGAAAGGCTTCAGGGAGATTGTCATATTCTTTACCATCCCAATAGTGTTTGAATCCACAGCCACATTTGCCACCAGTGGATCTAGCATTAGTTCTGTCCCCATCCAGATACACAACAGATCCATCTCCCCTGACACGACGCACCAAGGTACCATGACACCAGTTACAAGCAGTCAAACTACTCAGACTGTAGTCTGGTACCAGGACATCCTTCACAGAATTATAAGAGCACACCAAACTGTTCAGAGGGAAGCTGTAATTTTTGTCAGGCCTCAGCTGGCCATGGGTACTTTTGGCCAGGTTGTACAGTTTCCCTCCTGGAGCCAACCACTCTGGAGGAACATGAAGCTCTGAAAGGGCACCACAGATTAGACACTTGTGAAGGCGGTTGTCCATCACTGCTTTTTTGGCAGCTGCAGTAACGTCTTCAGGCTGAACTCCTATTACACCAGTCCTTCTGTAAAAATACTGATGTACATCAGCTACTAAACTGGGATGAATACCATGCTTATTCATGAAAACTTCTTCCATTGCAGCAACCAGCCTCAGTAAGTATTTGTCTTGCAAACTTCTATCTCCTCCAATCACACAACCATCCTCCTCCAGTTTGATGTACTTTTTGATGAGATCCTGAGGAACTCCCCAAGCTTTAGGAAGTAATTTCATAGGCAGTTTAGGTAAAGCAGCACCTTTTATTCCAACCAGAGGAATATAATGGTTACGTCCAGAGCTACTCCATGCAATACAGATAGGTTTGTTCAACATGCCATCTTTTCCCATGCATTTCTCTACTGGTACCAGCCCAGGGAGGAAAGTGGCTGAGTAATCTCCAGAACTACGCATTCCACTCAAGGAATCCAACAGGATGATGGGCCGGTGAAGCACATTAGCCAAACCAAAGATGTGAATGTTTCGCAGACCCAATGGCACACCTTCTGGAGGGACAAACAAAGGGTCACACTCATTGATTATGTCCTCCCACTCTACCGCGTCAATGAAGTCGTGGAAGAGAGCCTTGTAGCGGCTCAGGTTCTCCTTGAAGTGCTTCTTCAGGTTCTCCCGGAGCGCATGCCAGAACAGCTCCCTGCCCACCAGTGCCCGTGAGACAGCATGAACCAGGCAGTGGCCATCACCATCCACATGAACAGGGATCAAGCAGTCCTGGCTGTTGTTGGCTTTCTTGATGTCCTCCAGGGTGTCATGCAGGTAGAGGAGGCTGCCAGAGCGGTCCTTGCCATAGCCCATAGTGTCGACATGCTCAGGCTCGATGAGGAAGGCACGGTCGCCCAAGAGGGCACAGTCAAAGACATCCCCCTGGTTCATCTCGGTGAGAAGCTTGGCCTTGCCCGTTTGCTTGTCCATGCCGTAGCGAGCCAGGATGGGGGAGAGCAGCTTGCAGTGATAGTTGGACAGGCCCATAACTTTGACCAGCTCCGTGTTCTTCCTGGGGGGGCCCCCGCCGCTCACCCCCAGCAGCGCGTTCCGCAGCAGGTTGTGCAGCACCAGGTCCGGATCCGTCACCTCCTCCACCCCCAGCAGCTGCCGCTGCTCGTGGCGCTGCCCGCAGTCCGTGCACTCGATGCTGCCGCTGCTCAGCGGCCCGTGGGCCGGGAAGAACAGGCGCGCCTGGCAGCTGGGGTCCGGACAGGTTCCGGAGAAGATGCGCCGGTCCCGCTTTTTCGAGACAGGCTGCTGCTGCTGCTGCTGCTGAGGAGGCGGAGGAGGCAGCGGCGGCGGCGGCGGTTGGGACATCGCTCCGCAGTGAGCAGTCTCCCCCCTAGGTTCTCTCCCCTCACAAGCTCATCCCCTCGCCTCGGGTAACGGCCGGAGCCCGACGGATTCCGCCCTTTCCCCCAACCGCGGCGCAGCGAGCCCCCCACGGAACGCGGAAGCAAGCCACCGGCACCAGCGCTTACTGCTTCTTCACTGCCCCGGCCGTTGCCCGCAATGCAACGGCCTTCCACGCAGACGGCGCAGGCGCGACGTCGCTCAGCCAGCCGGAAATTGTAGTCTTCTCTGTGGAGAGGGGCCAGGGTGTGGGGAATAGGAGATTGGGTGGTTCCAGAACTACAAGTACCGTCATGCAATGCGTTGGGAAGGGGACGGGAGGGAGGAGAGGTAGGCAAGATTAGCTCCCAATGGTTTCTGGGAGATGTAGTCTTTTGTATTGGTCACCGGGTCGGCCAGAGAGGAAGCTTGTGGAAGAGGACACAATGCCTAGAATGCTTTGCGGCTTCCTGTTTGCTTCCCGTTTTCGCTCAGCTGGGGCAGGTTGGCTGCTGCACTGAAGGAGACACACGCCCGTCGGCCAGTGTGACTCAGAGCCTGCTCTTAGCCAGCCCAGCTCAGGCGGTGGGGACTGGGGCTCCAGTGAGCAGTTCCTTGTCGCAGACAGGCAGGGACGCCCGGCTCTCCACTTGCCTGCCGCTGACTGCGGCTGAGGAGCCCCAGCCAGCTGGGCCATGAGAAGAGGAAGGCACTGTAGGGCCGGTGTTATAAAGCCTGGTGCAATAATCGTACAGGTGGAGCAGGGGAGAAGACACTAAAGAGGAGCTGCACTTTGCAAGGGTACTGAATCTTCAGTATTTGTCCTTCTCCATGCCCCAGCAAGCCCCTGGGCATCATGGGGACTCCATGCAATGCTTCGGTGAGGGACAAGGCAAGGAGGGGAACAGGTTGGGATAGAGGGACAGGGAACTAGACTGAGAAATGGCCAAGAATTTGCCAGGATCTGTACGTGGCATACCACAATCTAGACATGATGCAACAGATGGCAGCTGAACTGGTTTGGCAGGTGAGAATCACTGCAGGCTTATAGCTGAGGCAGAGTTTTCTGTATGCTAGTAAAAGCTACAATCAGTATTTTAAAAGGATAAATGTGGCCTCACAGGCAGGACTTATATTAAAGGGGGAATAGATGGCCATACTCTTCTAAACTCTGCCCCTACACTCCAGTCCCATGAGTCACCAAAATGAGACACTGCTCACAATAGATTGTGTGGATATTCAAAATACAATTGTGCATGGTTTCTGAGATCCACTGGGCTCCTGGAGCTTGGCTCCCCTTCAAGTATAATCAAGTGTCATGTTAGGCTCCTTGGGCTTTGCTCCTTCTTAATTGGAGGGTGGGGGATTAACAAAGAAAAGGTGGCATCTCCCATTTGCCACTTATTTGTGGCACCAAAATGAGATATCACAGTAAATTGTGCAGATCTGTGATTGTCTCTGTGTTCTTACCTGAGAAATGAAATAATTAACAGTGTGGACATTTAAATGATCATCACTGGACACCTGAAATAACATCACTGAGATGAAAGGGCAGTTCACGTGTTTCTGAGCTATTGTTATTGGCTCTTCAGATTCATGTGGACATCTCTGCAAGAGTTACCATTGCTTCACTTTTTTAAGTTTTCTTCACAAACAGTTAAAGACTTACTTTTTTCAAAACATGAAAGCTGAGATTTTGGTGAACAAGATAATGTTCCAGTGAGGTGCTAGTACATAGTACTGCTGCCAGGGATAGCATGGTATTTACCTGACGTAGTTTTTACCAGGTAAAATTATGGTTTTTACAGCCCTGGAAAAACTAGTTAATTCTAGTTTAAGGCATTTTCTATTTTAAAAACTGTTTCATTAATACACACCACATTACACTTAGTTTTAATTACATAGTCAAATTGTAGTTACATAAGACAATAGATTCTTAGAGCTCTCTTCTTGCCTGCCTCTGGCTGCGGCTGATGAGCCCCAGCCAGCTGGGCCATGAGAAGAGGAAGGCACTGTAGGGCCGGTGTTATAAAGCCTGGTGCAATAATCATACAGGTGGAGCAGGGGAGAAGACACTAAAGAGCAGCTGCACTTTGCAAGGGTACTGAATCTTCAGTATTTGTCCTTCTCCATGCTTTATTAATTTAGGGGGTGGTACAAATAAAAAGTAGGTTAATTTAGGATTGTACAAATAAAAAGTAAATTTGGCTTGGGCATAATAGTAATATATGTAATTATAATACTGAATATTGGAATGTCTATACATTTTGGTTTCGTATTTTCTCAAGGAAGTTACCCATGTCATGACTCATATTTCAGTTTTCAATATTATATAAACAGAAGTAAAAACCATTTGATTTATGAAAATGATAATAATGAAGCATTGTAGACCTGAAGCATTAAGCAATCAGAAGCATGCAGAGTTTCAGACTCCTCGTTAGTCCAGGTCCATTTGGCCATGCAGCAGTCTGTAGCAGAAAACCAACTTTGATGTAGTGGACAGACCCAGCCTATTCCTCAGTTTTGAATGGAAAGTATCCAAAATTGGAAAAGGTTTGTTCTATACTTGCTGGACACTGATGCAATTATTTTTCTGAGTTTAAACTAGGTTTAAGCCAGTATTTATCAGTGCCCTGTCCTAAACTAGTTTTTCCCAGGAAATTGCCAACCCTGACTGCTGCATACCAGCCCAACCCAAGTTCTACTCATGAGGGACCAAAAGTGTCCACCTCTCCCGTTGTTCTGCACCTGCCCACAGTATTGACTCCACCATTCTCTCTTTTCCTGGACTCCCCAGCAGAAGTAGCTGGTGTCAGTCCCCCCCTGGTCTATTTGACTCATTTCCTTCTAATTCACCCAGTTTGGTATTGTGACAGATATTGCAACCCCATGCAGTACCTCTGGGGATCAGTGTATTAAACTTATGAATGTTTTCTGTATGATGGTGTCCTACTCCATTGGGGAGGGTTATCACAGCTCCTCCACGAACTAAAACAATTCCAGAGAAGCAGCACAGGTCTGCCTGTGTGTATGTATCATTGCAGGGCCGAATTCTGCAGCCCTAACTCGTGGGCACCTATTCATTAGGTACTGGACTGAAACAAATTCATTCGTTTTTCATAGGGCACCATATACTGATTGCTATAGCCCTGGACTGGATTTGAATCCGTGACTCAAAAGAAGTTGTATAGCCCTTTACCAACTGTCTAAGCCAGTAATTCTTAACTTTTCACTCCCATAACCCCATGTTACAACAGAAAAAAGTCAGCATCTCCCTCCACCTAGCATTATGAACAGGAGGATTGTCCTCATGCCCAGGTTGAGAATTTATGATCTAATTAATTCAGTCCTTCCTACTATGTACTTTCCTTTTCAGGGCTCCCATTTGACTTCAGTGGTCAATTTATCAAGCCCCGTGGCCCAGATCCTGCAACAAAATGCACCCACCTGGTGCCCTGAAGCTCCATGTGGGCACAAAGGTCTGCCTGTGTCTTACTGGAAGATTGGGGCCATAATTTACATTGCTGCATATCAGCTGAAAATAAAAATACATAGTAGAAAGAACTGAATGGCTTAGGTGATTGTCAAAGGCCTATTCAAACTTTCTCACCTTGCTGCTGACACAAATCTAATCCAGGGCCGCAATCATCAGTTTTTGGTGCCCAATGAAAAGTGAAACAATGGTCTCATTCTAATTTCAAATTAACAGGTGCCCATATTACATACGCCTGCTATCATATAAATAGACCTATGGAACTGCTCATGAGGTAGGGCTGCAAGCCTGGGCCCATCGACTGTCCTCAGTGTACACTACTTAATTCCACTGAGGCTTGCCTTGATGGTAAAGGCTGATGGTTGTTACTTTGAAAATCACATGACCGTTGCATATCTGTGGCAGGTAACATGCCTCTGAATTAAATAACTTTAAAATGTTATTTCACTTTTACTATCGCAAATTATTTACATCAGAAATGTAAAATTGTGGACTAGAGTTTACAGAGAATAATTCTTCTTCCCTTGTCCCATCAATCGGGGTTGGCGGCTCTTCTTATTCATCTCCAAATGTTCCTGTCAAGTGCACCTTCCAACCGGATACCTACCTTCTTCATGTCCCGCTTCAGCGTCTTGAACCACCTTTTTTTAGGTCTTCCTTGTGGTCTTTGTCCTGTGACTAATAGCTCTTGTACTCCCTGGTCAACATATCCTATATCTCGTTGTCTCTGAGAATACTATACTAAAGATCCTATGTTGTTAATCTGCAATTATCCCCATTTTACAGTTTGAGAAACTAAGACAGGGTGAGTTTAAGTGACTTCCTGAAGTCACACCATGAGTTAGTGTGAGATCCAGGACTAAAACTCAGGAGTTTCTGGATAAAGTCCTTTTCAAGCATTAAATAATTAATTGAATAATTAATCCAATTAATTTGTTGTGAGAATTAATGCAGCAAGTTATATAAATGTTAAGTATTAATTATTAATTGAGCTTCCTTCTTGTGGTGATTACTTTGTCCCATATTTGAGCTTTGAGAAGTTGGAAGTTATAACAGGAATCATTTCACAATGAGAGTTTCACCTCCTCTGCATCTGGGATAATTTACATCTAAAAGTTAGGATGTGATCCTGAGAGGTAATGAGCACTTCCAATTCCCATTGAAGTCAATGAGAACTGTAAGAGCTTAGCACTTCCAAGGACCAGGACTGAAGCCAGCTTTATAAGGTTTTTGGGGTTTTTTTCTGGACCCATTTTGGTTTTAAAAGACTATGATATCGAGAAACCCTGCTAATGAATTAATCATCTAAGCCTTTATCATTTAAATGTCAGCTTCGTGCATTATGTTTTATCAACATCTGAACTACATTTCATAGAAATGAAATCAACTAGCCTAGGACCCTAGGAAGTCAGAGCAGAATTTTGTACATTTTCTATTATTTTGTCTTGACCCATTTTAAATGTGAAGATTACCAAGGAGGATACCTGTCACAGTTTCAAGACAACTGCACCTGTATTCCCCCTCTGTAGTCCACTCCAGGAATGCCTAGTCAGGTCTCTGGACTCTTGGCATCACTTGTCTATGAATAGTATCAGAGGGGTAGCCATGTTAGTCTGTATCCACAAAAACAACGAGGAGTCCGGTGACACCTTAAAGACTAACAGATTTATTTGGGCACAAGCTTTCATGGGT